TCACTTTCTAGGGAGCTAGAAAACTGTTATAAGACATTATCTCACCAGGATTCAACAATATTAGCTCACGAAGATGAGATAGCATCTCTTAAGTCTGAGATAAAATCTCTTAAACAGCGTCTTCACAAAGCATTACAGGATTTAAGGCATAAAGGTAATGCAAGTACTGCTCAAGATATCCATATTTTAAGGCTAGAAGACATGGTTGAACAGCTTAAAAAGCGAATTAGGGAGATTACAGATAAAAAATTATCCCAAATAAATAGTTCACCAATGGCATTACCAGAACTTTTAAGAGATATTGCTACAGCTATAGACTGTGTTGAATTATATGTTGATGGAGATAGATCATTTGACCCTAAAAATACCTTGAATGGTATAAGAATAACATTAACAACTATTTGTACCATATGCAAAGGATATCAAATGAGGCCTTACATTATCAAGGTTTGCTTAATATGGGTCAATAACCTTATGAATGATATGACAAATCTTAGAAATGATTATTTTCAAAAGGCACGAATGATGAATTAAGCATGGAGGGATGAAAGATAAGTCCGACAACAAAGAGATGATGAAATCAATAATCTTAGAGATACGGTATGTAAAAATGTTTATGAAAAATGTTGGTGGAAAAGAAGATACACTGCATGTACTCAACAGGCTCAGAATTTAAAAAGATATTATCATCAAAGCAGAAATGATATAGGATTATTAGAATATAATCGTGATCGAGTATATGATCGATATGAAAAATGGAAGGCTAAGGAATTAAATTCGAGGCAAATTATTTTAAATTTACAAAACAATCCTTCAGGAAATATGGCTACTATACAAGATGTTATGACATCAATGGCTCCACTTTTAGCACAAATTCCTTAATATGAAGAGCAAGAACTACCAGATACTTATCACAATAAAGTCATGCAAGCAATTAATTATAGGCATAATTTAGGAGTAGCAGGTTTTAATGATATTATGAAAGTTACTGTATTGTCAGGCAAAATGGGAGGAAGGTTCGTTCTACTAAATCCATTCAACAATGATGCAAGAAATGCTGTCAATACACCAGATTTACTCTAAGCATGGCTTAGAGACAAATATCGTGAAGTAAAAATAGGTACAGCACAGGCTTCTATGAAAGCACTCATATATGAAAAATTTAATACTATAGATACTCCAAAAACATATGAAAAAAGAATTCGACCACATGTCGATGGCATGCCATATGCAGATGTATTACTTATTCTTTTAAACCATCTACCAGAAAATTTGGAAATAAGGGTAAGAATATCAAATCCTGTAGATCTAAATGTATTTTTTACCGAACTTAATAACAAATGGTTAGAAGCTGGAGGGCCTTCTATAACCACGCAAGCTATACAGCAAATAGCCCCCTCCTCCCAGGCTTTAATTATACAACCACAAAAAGATGATTTTAAAATTTGGTTAGCAAGAGATTTGGCTTATACAGGAATAGCATCAGATGATATAACATTAGAAAAATTTATCTATGAAGAGCTTCAAAAAAGATTAGGCGCTAAAACAGCACATGTTAGAAAGAGTCCCTTTATGCCCAGAAGTACCTATGTCACAAAGAAAGTTGTTAGAAAGGTAATACCAAAAGCATCTTCAAAGTAAACTCGATACTGCTCAGCATGCAGAAAGGCTGGTTATACAAAAGTTAATTGTCCTAAAGGCAAGCGGACTAAAAAAGTTAATTATGTATATGCTTTAGCGCCTTCGGTCCAAGATGAGGTAGAAGATCCTAAAGCCTCAGAAGAAGAATACATAGTGGAGGAAGAAGTGGAAATAGAAGAGGATGATGAAGAATATGTTGAATATGTTGATGAAAATGATGACAAACCACGAAATTGCTATGCATCAAAAAAAAAGTAGTGCAAAGTGGAGTACCTATGAAAAAGAGCACTAAGCTGAAAGAAGGAACATCCAAGAAACCCCTACTTCCAAGTCCTGTGCTAGCAAAGCATCAGGCAATATAATTATGGCTACAGATCAAATGAAACAAATAGCCTTAAAATCTAT